CGTTCTCGATACAGACTGTGAGATATCAGAAACCGACGTTGACTCCGCTGAACCATATAAGGAATTGACGGTCCGCGACGGTGCTACACTGCTTCAAGTTCCAGAATATTCAGGACCATGCTTAGCCCGCAACGAGGACCATTTTGCCAAGGTTGATATTCAAAGGCTGCACTTTGTTCCATATGCTCTTCGAGATAATAGAGGTGGGAAAGGACATATGAGGGTGGGCTTGCGGCGGAAAAGTACACGGGTGTAAAGAATGGTGAAATTGTTGATACCAAATGTATATCATATTCCTAAGAGACACAAATCTTGATGGAGAATATATATGATTCACAGCGAGAAAAATCTTCTGCCCTCAAAATTCTCAACTCTGAAATCTCTATTTACCTAGGTAGGTACTTTGAGTACCTGCCTATCTATTTACTTTGAATTTGTATCTACTTGAAATCTCTATCAACTTCAAATCTCTATCAACTTCAAATCTCTATTCACTCGAACTCTCTATGCACTCGAAATCTCACTGGTCAGTAGGTAGGTACGTATCCATCATTCACTCCCCATAACAAGAAACTACGCCAAATAGTCTTAGCGCCTTTGCATACATAGGTACCTATATGTACAACCTCAGTTTCAATTTTGCCATCGCAAATCTCTAAACCTTTATGCGATATTATCCTCGAGTTCCGCATCGTCCGAATTTCGTTTCCCGCTACTCGTACTCACTCGGGGAAACCGCATTTTTCTTCTCGTTTAAATCGGCCAACCCCGATCTCCACCACCTACAACTACAATTCAGACAGAAGCGGACCTTACCAACACAACATGAACCAATCATCCCAGAAGAAAGTTCCTCGGGTACAAACTGCTCCCGACACATCAGCTACAAAGGTAGCCATGCCCAGGACTTCCTCAGACCATCGCACTTATACCGAAAAAGAGGTGCAGGGCTTCGTAGGTAATGTGTTAGATATGGCAGTACAGCTTCTAGCAGGGGAGAGAAAGAGAGAGGGACCGAGAGACGTTTCTGAAAACAACTCGGGAAGCGACGCGGCAAGCGAGACAGTAATTAATAGTCTTCAGAGTGGCCCGGCCCCGGCCCGCAAAAAGAGAGCGCTCGATACCGACGAGGAAATAATTTGCAACACCCCAGCCATCACTGCGGAATCTCCTCGGCCAACGATCAACCAACGTCTTCTTTCTAATACTGCATCCCGAAAAAAGACAGGCAGTCGCCAAAACACGCGAGTTAAGTCACAAGACTTGTGTGCGGCTCGAAGACTGCAACGAGAAACCCCCTTAGCGACTTGGATAGAACAGAATACTACCACACATGGTAAAGTTCGAGATTGGCACACTAGGGCCCATTCTCTTCAACTCATGTGTTCCGTCTCCACGAGACAACAAACTCCCGACCCGTCGGTTCTATGGGGACCTTGCGTGCGCTGTAATGAGTACCGAGTACATATCCTCTAAGATGATGCGCCATCTCAAGGCTCCCGCTGACTACGACTCGCACGGAAAATTACTCTCCACGCGAGTTTCCGTTGGGTTACCGGCGATGAATGCGGCGGGCCAAATACTCTTAGTTGACGGAAAACCAATGCTTGGCTTCCTACGAGATATAGCTGAGCAATTTCCTCGTTACGATGAGATCGAGGCTACAGCAAAGGCTGCCGTCTGTAGAAAAAATGCCGCTTGGTACGAACAAAAATTCCGGGATACAAATGCTAGACACTTGTCGCGCTCCGGTACTGGCAATCAGAATGGACCCGAAGCCGTCAAGCCAACTCACATTTTTCCTCTATTCCTCCTTCGTCCAGGACTCGAACCAGATACTGAATCAGCTGATAAGTTTCCTCCATCCCCACCTAGAAACACCATACATACCACAGCATTCCCTGGTTTCCCTTTCTCTTTACCTCGTGCTACGATACGACAAAGTGTACCAAAATTGTCCTTCTCAGAAGAAGCTTCAAGAACTTGGTCGAGTGACAACCGAGTTCGTTCCACCTTAGTAGCACGTGGGCCACTAGAGCGACTTGGTCAAGACGACTATATGCTGAAGACAACCGAAAACAACCGATTCACAAGTCCCGCCGTGTCTCCAAATGGTGACATCGAAGCCGAAAATCTGGTCCGAGAAGATCTCTAGCTCTTCACTAAGCCAAGGAAAAGCGCGCTGGAAATCTATCTTCGCTCTAGAATTAGCTACTAGCTAAACTCGCGCTGGAGCAGTACAAAGATAGATCTCTCAGAGAGATTCAAAAAGTTAATTGATGGTGAAAGTGAGGAAAGGTAAAACGGGAGACCAACAGTTGCCCAAGGTTTATTCGTATATTTTGGAGCACTGGGGTTCTATGGCGTGTGAGTCAGCAAAGCGAGGCCTGATTTTCTGATTTTCGTTTTCAAGCAGTCTGGTGATGGAGGCAATCAAGCAAAGTTAACCTGAGAAATGAGTTTATGCATGGAATGGATCGTGGAAATACAGGAATCTGGGACAGCCAGACATTAGGCATCAAAGTGAAGTGGTCATCTGGGGGGTCTGGCTGGTATATTATTTGAATCCCTTATGGACATAGGTATCTGAAAATAATGATAATCGCGCAGCTTTAGCAACTCAGAAGTGTACAAAAAAACCTTGTAACAAATGATATATACTAGACCAGAATTCGTTAGATTGAACCACGGCCTTTCCTTAACCTAATTTTCCACCTTATACGAGAAGACGAGTTCAAGAACCCGCTGGAAGGGATGACCTGTACCTGGTAGTTATGATTAAACACACACTCTAAATGATTTAACATTTCAGATGAACGCCTCGAAGAATAATATCTTTTTAGGCGATGTGACTTTTTTGAAGGAACGAGTCTTTCAGATGATATAGATCCTTGAAGTGTTTCGACTGCTATAGATAATCCAATATCTAAACCAGTGATTGACTGACAGTCCTCACTTGTTATGAATGAGTTGAGTAACAACTATTAAATGAATCATAATAGACAACTTTGTGAAGCGACATCTTAGATCCTGATATACACGTGTATAGTTAAGGCTCTATAAATATCATGCTCATGCTCACGCTCACTTGAATTTCAGCTCCTGCTTGGTCTTTCTTTGATCCCCAAGTGACAGGGTTACACCAAAACACGTGAACGAAAACACGAACTTGAGGCGTTTGAGCGGCTCCAATGCATACCCCAGAATTAACGATTTGTTAGAATGAGGGGCAAGTGGCCAAGCCAGTAACATCAGTCCTTGTGTACCGCACAAATGTTACACTAGCTACCTGGCAGTCCGTCATAACCATAATAAAACTGCATCTTTCGAATTTTCTCACGCCAAGCCATATATTTAACAACTAATGTTGAATTGGATGACATCGTAGTAACAGCAACAGTAATAGTAACAACGACAGTAGCAACCGCAATAGTAACAGCATATTACAAAAACCCTAAACTGTGTGATTGTCACATGAAATCAGCACATCCCCAAACCTAGCCTCGGATGTATCATTGTACTTTGTCCTTCATACCTTTAATTTTTCAAACTCCAAATTTTATTTCGGACTAGCAAGCTCAATGTGGGCAAAATCCGACTTTCGTGCATTTTGTTGAGAGCAAACTGATGAATTTGGCCCCGCTTTTCCTCCCATTTTGATATCTGCGGAGTAGCGGACAGAAGGCAAAAGAGAGACGCGAGAGGCAAAAACACACACAAAAAACCAAAAAAAACAGGAATTGGATAAAAACATCTTTTCGCCACTATTCCGAAGAATTAACCAGGTGGGTTTTTTTCAATCTGGGAGAGAGGAGGATAAAGCTTAGTCATTCAATTGACATTTGGCGTGTGTACCTGTTGGCTTGCTTCAAAGCTACCCTGCATTCACAAGGCTCGCTGCAAGATTGACCAGTGAAGATGCATCTTGATAGAAACTTGTGAGTCGTGTATCTTCCAGCTGTATCGTGGACCGGCATCGTATCGTGTATCATGTATCGTGTATGGTGTCAACGGTTTAACCGCATTAACCAATGCCACAGTGCAGAATGTGTCGGTATACGGAGCAAAAGGCGGTAGATGCGATGCGCAATCAAATCCAATGTGCGCACTGAACATTCATGTAAGTACTTTGTATGTATGGGAGGATGCACCAAATAAGGCTGAAAAAGACCTCATAACCCACTCTCCACTCAACCAATCAACTAGTCAACTAATCAGCTAATCAGCTAATCAGCCAATCAGCCAATCAGCCAATCCTAGTATCTTTTCTTTCCGATGATTGCAGCTTCCTTCCTTTGTGGCTCCTTCCTTGTGTGGTGAATTGGAAGGTTTTGTTCGTCCAAAATTTGTTGGGAATTTTTTTTAGCTGAAGCGAGGCTATCAAACTATGATCTATCAAATGAAGAGGGAAACCAAGAGAAAATGGATGAATTTACCTGGTAAAACCTTCAATATTACGAGACTTCACTCAATCATTTCAATTTAATTTCTTAAAAAGGACGGGATTCAAGAAAATAAACCGAGGCCCGGACTTAGAAGGAGAGGGAGGGTACAGTACTACTACATCTACGGTTCTTCTATTTCTTCCCTTTGAGATCTTTCTTATTGCATGCCAAAGGAAGGTCAGGAATTTTATTATACATTACGTTACCTATCTAGTATATCAACAATACGGGTTGAAGAGTTTCATTACTTTCTCTCCTCCTCTTCCTCTTCCTCTTTCTCATCCTCATCCTCTTCCTCATACGATATTGAGTTTTGATCTCTTCAAAATTCACATCTAACTTTCTTCCAATTTGAGAGATCCAGTTAACTTTTTCCTTCTCTCCAATTTTGGCCCTTTCCTCATTTGATATTCGTTTTGATATCGATATCAAATTTCTTTGAAATTCTTTGGTTTCATCCCTCCCGTCGCAAGGCAAGGCTTCACTCCTAACTTGCACCTCGAACCTTTCGAAAGAAAGATACCTATACAATTTTACTCAAAATGGCTTCCGCAACTGTCCATTTCTCTCACCCTGAACCCTCTCTATTCACATTTCCTCCAAAAGGCGACCCTCAAACTTTACCTCCTCCAATACCAGGTTCGACTCTTTCTGCCCCTCCATTCGAAATCGACCCCTCCTGGTACAATGCCGCCCTCGATGTGCGAGTTCCAATCACAATTGCTGCGGTATATGCTATAACGGTTACACTGGTCAATCAATACAACAGACGCGCTGGAAACAAAGCTTGGCCTATCAGTAAAACCAAGGCATTCTTCGTTTTCGTCGTGGCACACAACATTTTCTTGGCTGTATACTCTGGATGGACTTTCGTTGGCATGTTTGGAGCTTTGAGAAGGTCAATTCAAAACCCAATGGGCCCAGCTGGTCTCGCCGGTACCGTCGATAGTTTATGCAAAGTCCATGGTGTTACTGGTTTGGATAATGCTATGTCTTACAATGCAAGCATGTCAAAATGGAACGCGGCATTGCCAACTGAATTCAAATTGACAAGTGCCGGAACTCCAGACTCTACCGATTTGGGAAGATTATGGAATGAGGGACTTGCTTTCTATGGATGGTTTTTCTATCTTAGCAAGTTTTATGAGGTTCTTGACACTGTTATTATTTTGGCAAAGGGAAAGAGAAGTTCTACTCTACAAACCTACCATCATGCGGGAGCTATGATGTGCATGTGGGCTGGAATTCGATTCATGTCACCACCAATTTGGATGTTCGTGTTTGTTAACTCTGGAATTCACGCATTAATGGTAAGTTCTTGATCATCCCAAAATCTTGTAATTGAGACTAACATTTGGCTTTTCAGTATACCTACTATACTCTTACAGCATTCTCCGTACCCATCCCACAAGCTCTTAAGCGCAGTCTCACAACAATGCAAATCATTCAATTCCTCGTTGGAGCTACATATGCCACCATCCACTCCTTCATCTCCTACACAGTCACCGTCCAAGTTCCATCCATCCCAGCTACCATCTCCTCAGTTACTTCCTCGGCATCCGTTGTCGCTACCTCCGCCGCTGCAATCGCAACCTCAAGCGGAGTCGCCGACCTGATCAAGAAACTTCTCTACCGCGCAGTCGGCGAAGAAGGTCTCGCCGAGAATGTCAACGCTCCAGCCGTCTCAGATGTCGCTCAAGCACCAATTGCTTCTATCCCTAAATCGCACTCTAAAATCCCAACATACGTCACCGAAACTCGTACAATCCCTTGTATCGATACCAGTGGTCAAACTTTCGCTATCTGGCTTAATGTTATCTATCTTACCCCATTGACCTTCCTTTTCGTAAGATTCTTCATTAAATCTTACATCCGAAGAACAACAGCAAGTGGAAAGAAAGCAGGCAGAAAAGCAAGTTTCGTAGCCGCGGAAAAGGCAGGACTCGATGCGTTGAAGGGTGTTGAAAGGGAGATGACCAGAGGCGAAAGCAAGCTATCAAATGGCTTTGAGAAGAATTGAATGGGGATAGCAGAAACTTGGAAGAATTCAACTTGATGAGGGTAGTGAGAGGATCCCTACTTGACAATAGGGTCTGGGTGTATGGGAAAATCCCCCAAGCACCAGGATTAAAAAAAGGAGATACATCAACGAACAGATAAACAAACAAACAAACAACATAAACAGAAAACCTTCAAGCAAGGGAACGGATACACATAAAGTCACTGGGGTGCAGGATGGACGGTATGGTGGGAGGCAATGAACTCGAGAAAGAAGCGCGCGTTACTAAATCGTTCGGCTCGGAAGAAGAGAGTACGTATTGTCGTGGGTGGGGTGCGGTTTTAGTCTTTTTAAGCGTGCGATGCGTGCAATGCGTGCAGTGTGTTTTGTACTACGATGCTACAATGCTATCCATGCATGGTAATGCATGGTAATGCTCATTCAATATGTACCTATGTATGATAGAATCCAATGATACCATTATAAATTGATTGTTGATTTTTACTTTTTATTCTTCATTGAGATTGTGTATGTGGTAGGCAGTATGTAGTATGTGTTGGTTGTGTGGTACTTAAATTACTATCTACGAAATTCAAACTGAAACCAGGTCGGTAACACGAAAAAAGAGAATAAATGAGAAAGCCCTGAAGCGTCTGTCTGGGAGCGTCTTGGGCGCTACGATACCAGTAGATGATCATTATTAGGGAGTCTCGAGTTCGCTTATAAGACCTCGGGATGGACGGGTAGGTATGTATGTACCCAAGTTAAGTATAGGAGGAGAGTACTTAGTAGTTATTTGATTAAAATGGATGAAGTAGATAAAATAAATAAAATAGATGAAGTAGATAACATAAATAAAATAGATGAAATAAATAAAATAGATGAAATAAATAAAATAGATGAAGTGTATAAATTGTATATTTCTTTACTTGTAATTCTTACCTATCTATCTATTACGATTTAGTTTCTGGGTTTGTTTGTTGCTGGGTTTGTTTGTTTATATAAGTGATAAGTAGGTGATTAGTAGGTAGGTGATTAGTGATGAGTAGGTGATTAGTAGGTGCTTAGTAGGTAGGTAGGTAGATAGATAGGTATGTATTATTATGATATATTAGATTAGATTATATTGCATTACCATTATGTGTTATTTATAGGTCATATTATTTATACCTATCTACCTAGGTATAAGTACAAGTATAAATACCAGCTATTTACCTACCTACCCCCTCAGATACATAAACAACTCTACAACTTAATACCCAGCTAGTAGTATTAGCAAGTAAGTAAGTACCCTTGCTTACTATACACATACGCGCATCTTTTCTCATCTATCAACAACGTCAACATCATCAAAAATGTCAACATCATCTAACCCCCTCTCATCCATACCCATACTTCCATCTATCCACCCCCCTCAATCTCCGCAAGCCCCATCCCAATCCATCCCAATCCCCCACTCACTCTCTATCACCGCCGACTTGCGATCCCGTGGGACTTCTTTCAGGGCTAAAAGGCACCCCTTCTCTCCTATCAATCTCCTTGCTATCAGATTCATTCGCATGAGCTTGAATCCTATCGTTAGCAGTGGCCGATTTGTTACTCGCTGCTATCGCTCTCACGGCCTATTCACAGATGATTGTCAGCATTTAAATATTCCCGCTCATCCGCTCTCCCGTTCTTCTCTCTTGTTGCTTGTCCAATCAAGAACCTTAGATAAAAGAGCAATGGAAGTAAATCCATCTTATCATCTAAGAGTCAACACTCTAACCTCCAAGAAGAAAATTACTTACAGCCATAACCGCAGTTCCCTGACTCTGCTTCTGTTTCCCACCACTTGCATTCCCCTTTCCACCTCCATCTCCCCTCACCGGTCTCCCCTTCTCACTTCTGCCTGAATTATCCCTCACAGCTGTCACAATACTGCTACTCGAGTCACCTCTCTCAATACCTTTTCCCACTGCCCTTCCTATTCCCAACTGCTGTCTCAAACCCGTAGCATAAGTTTCTTTTCCTGGGGATGTACTCAAAATCGGCTTCGTTCCCGTATTTCTTGCTTTCGGGCTTGCTTTAACTTGCGAATTTGCGTCCGCGATGGGATGCCTAGGTAATGTCACAAACTCATCTTCATTATTCATAACATAACTCAGACGACTCCCCGGCGCCGAGACCGTATTACTTTTCCGCAGAATATCTTTCGAGGGTTTGTGCAGCACAGACGGCGTATCATCGCCTGTTCTAAACGAAAATCCCTTTCTGGATTCAACGGAAGATACTTCTCCGTCGTCTTGTGGTTCTACCCATGGTCTTGCATTGCCTGTTTCACCTGAAAAGAAAGGATCTATTTCTTGATGTTTGGTCGGAATATCGAGTAGAGGTTTCTCTTTACTACTATTGCGAGTACCGGGGATTTTGGGCGTGCGATTGGGAGTGGGAGCTTGACCTTCAGTAAGAGCCGAGCGGGAACTGGTATCATCTGATTCCGATGATGAGTCGAATATTACACCGAGTTCTTCGGTAGCATGTTGTCTTTCTATTTCATCTAGTTGTACAGATGTCAAGCGGGTGGATTGGTTGTCCATAGCCGAGTAAAAACTTTCGGTATCTTGGACTGAAGAACTTTCTTTGCGTCGAGATTTGACCGTTCCTTCGCGGTGTATATCTCCTTCCTCATGAGAGAGCTCACTTGCATTTGTAGGAGTTTCTAGTGGATGCGATGAAGTAATTTGTTGTGCGTGATCAATATCCCAGTCAGTTGTGGTAGTAGAAGAATCTAAGGAAGTTAGATGATGTAAAGCCAAAAAGGAGATGATGAGCAACCAACCTCTCCCAGAACTATATCGCGCGAAATTTTGCTTGATTTTCTCCATACCGTCTTCGAACAAATCCGCCGCTCTTCTAGTCCCATGAACAACACTTTTTGAGCGCGCCATCGTAACATTTTCCATTCCTCCCTCGGTCTTGGAGAGAAGAATTTCAAGATTCTTTATTTCTTTTTGATAATCTTTTTCTTTCGCCTTCCACCTTGAATTACACGCATAATTAGCAACTCGTACAAAAGATGTTCGTCTATATTCAGATATAACTTACTGTTCAGCCATACCGTCAAACTCCCTAATGTCCTTTGTATGCCTTCCCTTAATATCCTCAATCTCCCCCTCCTTAACAGCCAACATCTCCTGTAGATCATTATACGACTCTAAAACATGTAAAATACACGTGTTGTACTCCACCGGTATCGGCTCCATTAAATTCCTTGTCATCATAATCACTTTAAGTGTTTCAGCCATCTGACTTCCAGATGGTTTATGATATACGTTTTCAGGAATATTGACATGTTGAAAGGTAAACGTATCACCTGCAGGTGCATGAAGATTCGAAGTTGATGAGCGAAAACCAATGTAGGAGGAAACGCGCGAACTAGGACGGATAGATTTCATGGTGTCTTCGGTTTCGTGAGGTTCATCAGAATGATTGCTTGGGGCGGATTGAACTGGTGTTCGAGTCCTTGCGAAGACGGGTCGGAGCCATTGATCCATTTTGGATGTTGGGATTCACTGGAGATGGAGATGATTCATATAGTGGTTCGACTTTTGAGAAGTCTGATTGAAATGATGTGGTGGTAATAATTAGAAGGCATTATATAACTGAAAAGAGAAGGAGCAAACCATTGACGGCCGTACCAACAAAAGTAAGATGTCAAGAATCTTTGATACTGGCGCCAATTATATCTCATTCTGAGTTAGCTGTATAGCAGCATTTGTCGAGCTATGAGGATTATTTACAATGGTCTCAAAGGTGAATAGAGTTTGGAAGACGTTGATGGTGAAGTGACTCAGTTTATAGCATCCATCAATTGAACAAAAGGGAATTTGGCTACAATATCGCGAGTCCCGTCATTGTTGGAAAACGGTTCACAATTTATTGACCTGCGAAAATGTAACTAAGAAGCTTTGAGAGGTGATTATTGAATAATATAAATAGACTACGAGCTTCGGTTTGCTTGTGAAATGCTGCTTACTATGTGCAGAGTATAATGGTATCTTTTCCATTTCCATTTCCATATCCATTCCCATATAACTCCATTTGCTAAAGCATAGATACCCCAACGCTATGTGCAATCCTGTCAACCGCAGAGAAATATCACTAGATGCCTACGGGTGGCTTCATGACCTCCTTAACCTAATAAAATAAATCTTCGGCTTTCTGCCTTCTTGCACCCCTTCCAACTATCCTCTCCGAAAAGAGCTCTTTCCCTGTGTTCCCACTCCCCGAGCGAGAAGGAAATAGTTCCTTCATGGTTGAATTATCGGATGCTAAACCTTTGATAGAGAACCCAGTAGAAGCAGGCTTTGCGGTTCCACGAATGCTAAAGCCTTGCGATTGCTGTGGCCGTTCTGATGTAATCCTTTCTGCCAATGAGAGTTTGTTAGGTCGAATATCTGAGCTTCCATCAAGAAATGGGACAGGCATTCTATTTGCGAACAAATCTGCTGTTTCGTCTGCAGCATCTAAAGCACCGGACTTTCGTTGAGTAGTGCCTAATTTGCTCGGGAAGAGTTCCTTTGTAGCGGATTCTCTGCGAAGGCGAACTTTAATATCCTTAGCTTTCGACCTATTCTCTGCAGCAGCTATGTCTCGACGTCGTCTATTGTTATCTCTAGCTCTATTTTCATTGCTCATGGGCGATGCGCTTCGATCTCTCAATCTTCCATCATTTCCACTCCTATCTGGAAACAACTCTCGCGAACCGGAGCCTCGTCGATTGCCAGTTCGCTCCCTAAAATCGCTAATGGGCGAGCCAGATCCTGACCGTCCACGACCTCTTGCAGCTCTAGTTGCCAAAGCTGTTTCGTCATCGTCGTAAAGACTTGCATTAAACCCTGCTTCTGCATCTCCACGCTGCCGGTTGCGTTGTTCCCGTTCGTCATATCTCTGACTTCTATACCCGTCATCATCTCGGTCCCGATATCTTCGTCCACCCTCGCGCTTTCTGCGCTCTGCAGGATCATGTTCGGGATTGAAAAGGTAGAAGCGACTTCTTTCTCGGGCCCCTCTCTGTTTGCGATCTCCGACCACGGCAATGCGTACTTGTAAGCTGATTTTGGGATTTTCGGGGAAAGGGTTGGCAGGAAATGATTGTAGGACTGGAAGCTGTGAAATATCCTCCGGAAGCTCTTGAGCAGAGAACTTTCGAAGAGCAGCTTCAGCAATATCGCTGCTTCCATACACTAAATTCAATGAAGAATCATCAATCCATTCTACTCGTGAAATGTGTTCGGTGAAATAATGCTGTGCGAAGTTCTTTACATCCTGAGTGGTAAGATTGTCCAAACCGCGAATGTGGACTTTCTCTGGTGTGGGTTTTTCTGCATCTGGACCAGAGTTATCATTTGGAGCTGAGGTTTCGTTTTGTGCCGCAGGCTGATCCGGCTGTATACATAAGTTAGTGCAATGTTGGTGAAAATGTTGTCTAAGTGACACATCGAGCAGGCCTCCGATCTGGCATTTGTGTCTTCCGCCGGCGCATGCACATTCAAACGTCGAAAGTACTTACAATCAGCTCAATGTCTACCATATCTGGAACGGGCAATTCCTCAATAATTCCAACGTCGATATCCATATCGATATCCATGTCGGTCGCCATGTTGGAATGTGGAAGGGTCGCAAGTATTGTATTCTTATAGATGTCGTTCGTTGTAAATGTTGGTTCTTGAGCGCGTATCTGGAGTCCTTGACGTGTATTTGTACAGCTTGTTTGATTGTTCAAAGATGAGGAATAAATCTAATCCCTAAATATGAGATGTATTGTGTTTGCTGCAAGCTGCAGAATCGTCCGGTGGTCTTTGATGCCAGGAAGTGGTGCAGACTCGGATTATTTGAGGTTCCTGGAAGGAAAGTTGAAGTTTGCGCGCGAAAGGGTCACCTTTAAGAAGACCTGAATTGAATTGAAAGGGTTTTCAAATATCAAAATAATTGAATGGTGAATTAAAAGAGTTATGGTAGGTAGTTATCAACCTATTACTGCAGCTTAAGGATATTCTTTTGAAGCCGAACTTTCTAAGTCGTTAGTGTAAGCGCGGTGTGGGGTCGGAGTTAAATTTTAGTGTGTATCTTTTTGAAGATGAAATTGTGCCTTCAAGACCTAGATCATCATCATTTGCATTGTTGAGTTTGGACTGAAATGGCGATATAAAGCAGTCAAGTATAAGACAGAGACCACCTGATTTTAAAATCTGTCATGGAATACTGAAATGTGTTACAGGCCACATGAGAATCACAAGTGGATGGAGCAATTCATCATCATATATAGGTACCTAGATGTGCCGACACAACCACGCCATATACTCCACCCTCAAACTCATTGATGTATTATGAGGTTTGATGGCACCATTTGCCTTAAATGCAACCTACTTCTACGCAGTGTTCGATTGCTACATCTAGGTCGAAAGGATGAAAAGTGTAATGGGGGCCATTGGATTTGTCGAACTCAAGATCGGAACATTGGATGATCTCGCCAATCACCATGCTCTAAAGGTTTCTGTAAGTTACGGATTCTCTCGAAGTGTTTTCTTTGGCCTCTATGGAGCAGTTGTATTGTGTATCAATGAGAGGGCATGGCCACTAAAGCCCAGGAGGAGAAAAGAGGGGAAGGGAGGGGGGGAATGGCGGATGCCGAAGGAGAAATTGAATATAGTTGATTCAATTGAAAGATAAATCTCAAGATTAACCAGTATGTGTGCACAGACTGAAGGTAGTATCACAGGCCAAACGAGAAGGAAGTGTCTGGATCAAATGGTACCTGTCACAAAAATCGTGGGTGAGAGTCGAAGGAATGGAACCGGACGATACGAGATTTTTTCAGTGTGATATTTTCTTGGATAGAGGAAAAATGAAATCCCCAGACTTCGTAGTGAAAGAGTACTCTCGCTGCTGATGTCTGAAGTCACACATACCGTTGTTTTTGCCCTCGCATTGCATCATTCATGTATTCTGCCTTCTGTATTCGTTCATAACAGCACCGTGTCCAAGAATCTGAAATACAGTCCAATTTGAGACGTTTCGAGCTTTGAATCTCTGAGCATGCTTTGATCACTTTGAACAATTCCTGGGTTTAACTGTTCTAATGTTCAAACTGAATTTACTGTTTCAAGTTATTTCGATGAGCATGAGCATCTTATTGTGGGATTGCAATCCGGACTATCTGACACGCAGGTTCATGTTCTATGTTCTCATATTCAAGACGAGCTCTGTCAGTAAGATCCTATATACTATATCAACCGAGTCCTACAATGGTGTACATACAAATCTCGATCAAAAATTGTGTTTCAGAATGATTGAACTCCAAAATTTATCTTGATTAAGAGCTTCATTTGCCGCGAACATTGCGAATTTATTGTTGTTTGAAACTCATCCTTTCATCTAGACGAATCATGGAATTAATGAACCTAGTTGGTGGAAGCACAGGCTTAGACAAGTACTTCATCTTCTACTCTTCGTTTTATCTCACATCTTATATTCTCAGCAAACTCACTGACTGGAAACTCATCTTATAGTAAACAGTGTTATGACATCACAGCCACCGTTGCTAGTACCGACGACTGGGCTACTACTAGCCCATTCAGCTGCAGTAACAAGATCTAATTTCACCTTCTTACCAGTTGAGATACCGTTTCTTCTCGTTTGTTTCGGTCGATCTTCTACAATTCCTGGTGCGATTGCTAATGATGCGCCTAGATTAAGTCGCCGAACATGATTACAGATTTTTGATATAGTGTCGTTTTTGTCAAGAGAAGTCGTGAGATTACTAAAGAGAAATAGAATGCTGCGGTAGAGCGAGCGATGTGGCATTCTTCCAGTTCATTGGTTTATTTATAGGGTGATGATTAATCCCGTCGAAATCGCGTGTCCTGTCAATAGACTGACTATGGTTACGGAGATGAACGGGGTGAAAATATGGCCGTCAGTTCAGTATCACATGGTAATATTTACAGCCATGGCGGCTTGAATGTCGCCAGGTTTGATGAGCTCGGCAATGTGAGGCGAGTATCATATCATATCTCACTGTAAGCATGACTGAGCAGGTGATACTCAATTCCGGGGCAGTATAATAGAAACACATTATGAAATTAAGGCGTGTGTGTGCCAAATGGGACGTTTGCTCTAGCGAGTCACTTATGCGACAGACAAATCTCGTTACAATTTCATCCCCTCTATATCATGGGAGCCCTCTAAGCACATTTCGAGCCCAATCTCAAGACACCGCTGCGATGTTGCCATCACGAGGGAACATAAAAAGAACCGAAGTCTTAGTCCCGCCAATTTGGAGTAATTAATCTATCGCCAGGAGTCATTGCTATGGAAAGAAAAGGCATCTCAATACCAATGAGACCAACAGATATCTGCAAGGCCTCGATATCCTTTCACGAGCTTAATCGAACTTTTTTAAGGCGCTGCAGTTATTATTCTTTGCCGGGGGCTCATGGTATTAGCGTGAAAAATTCCTGGGGACAATTGAGATAGCAAACCCTAGCGGTATGCATATTAACGGTGAATGGTAACAATTTTAGATGTTATTAACAAAGAGCAAGACGACTACCCCAGTAGTGACTGCAGAGATAGACATACCATGTGTCGGCGTGTTTCACCTGTCGCTCTTCGGAAAATGTACGACGCGAAAGAAATTGGCAAGAGGCTAAATCGGATTAGGACTGACAGCAGTATCAACTGGCAAGTGCCCGATTTTTTCTGAATATTAAAATATTCGGGCTTGCGAATTGCATGGTTGAATTATTTTCTGGGGCATCCCACGGGGGCAAAAGTTGTTCGGAAAAACAAAAGAGGAGAGGATGGGGTTGAGGGGAATGTACCGGAATCCACCTTTACCGAGGGAATTTATGTTCAACTCACCATCTGTGGATATTGGGTAGCAATGGTTTATTCAGCATCGAATAACTACGGAGTACAAGATGATATGAGTATGATACTTAAGATCTGTACATGGTAGCTAGGATTTATAACCTAGACCTTGCTTGGTATATTCTCTGAAATCCCAAGGATCAATATTCTTTGGGCATCTATGTACAACCATGGAGATGGCGCATATCACTCGAAGATCTTGCTACTGCAGGATTCCAGAACTGGTATACCGAATTCTCACATCGTGAGGGGACTCCCTCTACCCCCATGCCTGGCGACTCAGCTACGGTGCAGAATATTCTCGAAACTCTTGCTTAAGTTCTTTCTTGGCCAAGATATACGTATAATACACCCAGACACTCTGTAGATGGTGGCGCACTTCGTACCTGCACTGCCAGTTTGCCTGGTTGAATGCAATGTAATGTAGCTATGGTAGCTTTTCAGAGTAGCAACTCTACTAAGTACTGGCAAAACAAACGCTTTCTACTCGGTGAAGGTTCTAGCTTCTTTCTAGCTCTCCCTGCAATTCTAGACTTTTTGCTAACAGAATGCTATAACCGAAGAGCACTTGCTTTGCGGTTCCTTATTCCATGCGGAGACTTTCGAATTATTTCCATTCTTCAGGCTTTCTTCTAGACTTGGAAGGTAACCGTAAGCATGAGTAGTGGCAGTTGAAATGTAATCAAGATCGAAGCAAGCAGAGACGACTTGACTGTATTCACACTGGTAGATACAGATGGGTATGCATTAGTGTTTGAGTCTACTGCACATGGAGAAATGAATATTTGAAATAGTAAAGAGAGAGAAAATTATGTCATTTAGTCTAGATGCGGACAGCTCGAGCAAATTTCTTGTATGCTCCCTTCGAATTCCAAGTTTTTGCATGAAGTAAATATTCGTTGGAGTTTATCATTGGCGCTATCAATAACCTCCTCATTATTTTGCCTTGTTTCTTCTCAACAAACGCGGATAGCGGAAAAACGCACGCACGCACGTACGTCTGCATAAGGCATACACTAAAATCACGAACTACTTCCACCCTGGCCTTAGCGAAAATCACCACATACCTACATGCACCCCCTCCATTTTGCTAACTGCATTGGGAATAGCGCCAAACGAATGACTCGTGCCCGTTGAAGTAGATCTACAACTTCATTACCGTGGCCCGCCTCGTCCACTCCCCTCGTGGAAAGTGGGCTTGGGTGTGATTTGCGGGTTAGGGTGAATCGAGTTAAAGGAGTAAGGGAATCACGGAGCTAATGTGGCTAAGTACTCGGTGTGACCGTTTGAGTTGCAGTGAACGAATAATCGGTTGCTAACGGGTTCGAGAGCACTAGTTGTGCATCAGTGGGCGAGTTTTGCAGATGAGATGTGTGCAGTGCATATCTGAGAAAGAAATGAAGGATGATTAATTGAAAAGAATTCTTCAGAAGGTATAGCTAGCACGTAGTGTGTATAAGTATACTTACTCAATGTGCTTAAAGGGGGACGTTGACTAGTTGGTGGAATGTGGAAATTGCAGATTTGGGTTGGCGCTTGGAAGCGGATGTTACAGTCTTGCGAAGCGGAGGCGATGATTTGCAATGATTTGCGAGTTGCTGGGGGATTTGCAGTGCAGCGAGGGTACTCGGTGCAGCGACGAAGCTGGGGGTAATCACATACCGTTCTTGGCAGGAGATGCATACACCCACATTCGGTCATCGATCTATGCTGTATCTGACATCAAAAACATGGATGAACTGTCAATTCTAGTAGAGTGGAACCGTATGTGGCCTGCAACTTGCAAGTTTCTACACTCAAGCTGTACTGATTAGTTGATTGTCATTGCGTTGTTAAGCATGGTGTAGTCTTATCTGTAAGATGTCAACCTCTCAGCGTGAGACACACTTTTGTCCAACAAATTAGTATGAAGTTGATTGAGTTGACACTGACACTGCCGTTAAACTGCCAGTTTCAGTATCATGACAGGAACGTTTGGTCATGCCAGTGGACTGTTACCGTGAAGCATGGAGAACATGCATTGGTGCGTTGTAGTTTCAAAGATGGGAAGTAGACCACACACTGACACCGACTATGATGATACTGGCAGTTGAATAGCCACAATGAATCAAATTCAAACTTGATTGACAGGAACATCTGGTCATGCATGTCTGCAGTGAAGTATATTATGAGTAGAATTGTGGATTTGAATGGAAGATTGCATTGATGCATTGACGTGGTTTCAGCTGGTTGATAGCGGATGTATTGACAGACTTGATGATGAGCTTGGACTTTTAATCTGGGATAGCGTTAGGTGTCGCAGCTTTGATGATTCGATTGTTGAGTTGAAGATGTTACGAGTACTGCAATACGAATTGAGTTGAAGAAATTTTCATCGTCGTCCGAGATTTGCTAGGTGGCTGTGAGCTAGTGGAGCTTAAGGATTGATAGGTCATACCTAAGCTGCAAACGGATGAGAGTGCAATACGGTGATTGAGCTACTTGTAAAGTCACAGTAATGTATGGCATGTGTCTATTGGAACAGCCTATGCTTTCATCCCTCCTTCGATTTCTAGGCGTTCAGATCGCCGTCGTATGAGAGGTAGCAGTCAAATTTGCGCGAAGTAGAGTACCAAAGTAGTATGTTTTGATTATTTATATTATTTGTTTGTTTGCTTGTTTGTGACTATCTGATGCTATCTTATCCTATCCTATCCATCGTCCATTCATCGTCCATTCAATCCAGGGTATCTACAAATGCATAAAAATGACGGCAGCCTCCCAATCCATACTGTAGACAGTAGAGTAAAACAATAACTATGCTATAAAAACAAAGATATACAGCCGTATATAGGCATTAGACACGTAAGAAATGCGTTCGCTTGCTTGCGTACATGAAATGATGCTGTGATTCTTTTAGAGTTCCGTCCTTCCTTAAGTAACTTTTGATATACACAAAAGAAATATCTATCTTCTAAACCCATCCAACTCCACTCGATCATAGTAAAAGGTTCGTAAGTTGCATCCTCGTGTCCCTCTCCTTTGCCTCCCGAGAATAAGTATTCCCAGGACTGATCGATCGAATAGGGGCCAACTGAATATGTTGAGGACTTGGTGGCGCAGTCAATGGCTGTGGAGCTCCTCTTGGAATTTCTTGTTGCTGTGCATGCCCTGAGATATAATACTCGCGTTGATGATGTGAGTCGCGAGGTGGAGATGGAGGTAGGGGACTAGGGTATTGTTGCTCTGAGCGACGGTGTGGATAATTCACGGATATGCTCGCAGCGCTCGGGCCTCTGCTGTGATGAGAAGATTTTATCGAGTTGAAATGTGCGTGAGTGTAATACGATTCTCTTTCTAATGATGGATGACATAATGATTGTGACTCAAACTCTGATGCGTATGGTGAGGTGTTAGGTCTAATTTGAAGTTGTGGGAGAGATGGTCTTCGAGAGTTGAGACGGTCGAATGATGAGAGAGGTGGAAGTTCGAGGGAGGGTGAGGATGCTACTCTGGGAGAGATGGAGAAGTTTTGAGCAGGTGGTCTGAGATCAAGGAGGGAGCACCATCGAGTGATTCTGCTCGAGATGCTTCGGATACTGATGGTGAAGGAAGAGAAGTGTGTATTCTTCGAGATGAAAAGGTGTCAATGTGACGAGATGTGGTGTGAGAATGAGAGTGAACTGGTCGTGCGAATGATAGGGTTTCAGACTGCTCGTTGAAGGAATGTGAGTGAGACGAAGTCCTTCTACGAAGAACCAAACGACGTCTTCGGTTCATACTTCCATTCCACCAATTCTTTACGGCGTTGTCACTGCGTCCTTGAAGTCTTCGAGCAATTTCGGCCCATCTCTTGCCCATCTCTCCTACCAATCTTTCGATTTGAAGTCCCTCTTCGGGACTGATTGGGTCGTGGTTTAAGGTTGGCTTGAGGTTTTGGTGGTAACGTTCTCGACATTGCTTTGGCGATCTTGAACCGATGAGCTGTGCAATTCTCACCCAGTTCAAAGCTCCTTGTGTATGAACAAGTTGTACCAAGTACGAATCTTCGGCTGGCGACCAAGGCCCGCGTCGATGAGATGATGACATTTTGAAGAATATTAGATGCTGAATGATAAAGATTGAAGATAAAGACAGAAAATCAAAATCAAAATGAAGGTGATGATAATCAGTCGTTAGGTCGATGGGCAAAGACGTTGGGATATAGGAAGCTCCTAATCGGTCAACGGCCCTAAGATGGAATCGGAAGTTCGTGAAAGGATGCCACAAGAGCGGTCAAGGTCTCGAAAAGGTGTCGAAGAGCTCAAGTGCACGGATGGGCCGCGGACTAGCAAGTGGATGTTTTTTTTTCAAAACACAAGGGATCAAGGGATGTAATTTCGCTGTGTACCTGAGCCTGGGACACGAACTAACGGCTGCTCAACGACTGAAAGTTTCCGCGACTACCCTTATTATAGAATCGTCGCTCGGTGCTGTACTTGGTCCTGTGAGTCTCAAGGAAGATGTTACAAGTGGAGACGACGCTAGATATTGTGGTGGTTTCTGGTCTTGGGATGCTTCAATCTCGTCCCTTGATCTAGACTTGTGATGGCGGCAGTGGCGATGAGAAAATACGATTTTCTTTGGATGAAGGGTGACCCTTTCAGTTGAAGCGGAAAGTAGGGAGAAAGCTTGAGCCAGAAGAGTCTGTGTGGTTAAGATTTTAATGATTCGAAACGCAACGCTCTGATGGGTGACTGAGTCGCGTAGATGGGAATTTTTCTTTCAAAAGAGATGAAAGCAAATGCTAGTTATCGATGATATTGAAGATGGATGGACTGGAGTTATATTTGAGAACAGGAAACCGATGGATTGGTATGAAGATGTTGAAATAGGAAAGACAATATCGGGTTGAGGATGGGGCTTATGTCTTGTAAAGTATAGTCGGCGATGGGAAGTATGACAATGATATACATTGATTTCCAGGTAAGCCAGGGACGTAGGGATTCTTACGAAAACATTTTATTGGCGGGCGCGACAACGATCAAGGTCTTAACAGGGGGGTAGTGAGGATGCTTCTGGGGAGGGGTGATGCGTGTTTTGGTATGGGTAGCACGGATCCTGTACACCAGTTTCGATCGGATAAACTCAGGGTATGGGTAGATTTTTTGGGACTTTTTTCTGGGATGAGAATGGAAAGTAGGGATGATGGTAAATGGTGTTTTTAGTCCAAGTGTATGGTGTGGGTGTGGGTGTATGGGTATTGGTATTGGGCCCGGGGTGGATTGTTTGGGTAGCGGGGACGTGATTGATGTGTGGTCGGTGGATGTTGTGCGATGGTCTAGGTATGGGTGGGCGGGTTTTGAGTTTTGTGGTAGGGGTGGTTGAAATAGCAGATGAAGACTTAAGACGTATAGAAGTGTAGTGGATGGTTTGTGCAAACCTTGAAAGATTCGTTTCGTCCCGCTCTTGCTCTTGGGAAACCTAGGGATAGATTAGAACCTAGGAAGTTTTTGGAAAGCTTAGAAGAATACTTTTTGGGGGGTTTCTGATGCTTTGAGACATATCTTACTGGCAAACTAGGCCAACTCGGGTTCTTGAAGGAGTAACATCATATATTGATGATGAATGATCCTCGTTGGCGTTGCGGGAAGGCTTCTGCACAATACCCAATCTTTCGGGTTGCTCAACTCTCCTTTTGCCCCATCTTGACCGTAAGCATCCATGTCTTCCATGTTTACACATCGAATCTGTAAATAAGATGGCTTCTGAACCCAGGATGTGCTACACTGCTACATTAGTAACATAGCTGGCAACGTACCTAACATCCGAATAAGATGCGAGGAGTCTTATACCTAGAACATCATTGACGCGCGAATTGCACTAAGCTGCAAATGGAAATAAATCCATCCATTCCAGTATCCTACACAGCACGATAAATCACAGAAATCCGTGCAAACCAAGACGATTAAAACACCGAAGAGCGAAACTACGAAAGGGAGTGAAAAAGCAAAATGGGGAAGTTGATTTGAAATTTATTGCCTAGCTTATCCTAGTTGAGTAACATCATACCTGGCTAGTGCGCGCTCTGGAGTCTGGACGGGATCTTAGTCTTCCATCCACCAAGGGAGTTACCCGCGAAATGTGTCGTTAGAACTTAGAAGCTAGGATCTTTCTCAGGTACTTGGGTGTGGACTTCGATGTAACACCAAATAGAATACCGTACAGTGCGTACCCAAGAAAAACACACACCTCATCGCAGCAACATGTCGACGAGAGTGGAGGAGCGGAGGCTTGGGACATTTGGCGAATATGGCGAATATGGCGAATATGGCGAATATGGCGAATATGGCGATGAAGGGGGAAGCAAAAATGGATGGAGAAGACAAAAAAGCACTTACCATACGCTCGCCGGGAGATCCTTTTCACACAAATTGGGCATTTGCCACTTTTCCTCCCAACTTCCCAACTCATTGAGCGATTCGAGGTCTGGGCGTCATCCAAAAGGGGAAAATGTGAAGGGAAGGAATACATTGAAATTTCTAAATCAAATCCCTCGAGGTATTCTTCTCGCAGATGTTACTATTTTCTTTTGAAATCCGATATCAGCTATTTCTATCGCATCTATCGCATGATTCACCATGCCATGCCATGCCCTGCCATGCCATCTGATAATTCCCCATCTGTCTGCCTACGAACAAATCTGACACTTTGCACCAATTGACATTCATCTCAATAATGCAAATTGAGCTGTTTGAGATTTGTACGGTAGAGTTGATACCATAATAGATCTTTCCGGGTACTTTTGGCTGAGAGATGGCGTCAATGCGATGCAACAGTTCGTAAAAGTGACGAATGTCTTCTATATCAAGTTACCAAGCATACACAGCACGCTTTTTTCCTTCTTTCTTCCTGAAATCTGAAATCGTGATTCAAAAGGTAAAACGCTTTGGGGTTGTGGGACCATTCCGAAGTCAGCTGAAAAATCATAATAATAACAACGGAAGATTATAGCCAGGTTTGATGAAATGGACCAAGGGACATCATCTTTAACTTTTATTCATACCAATGAAAGCCAATGAAGGCCAATGAAGGACAATGATGGTCATGTGCTATGTATATTTGTATCTATTTGCAGTAAGAGAGTGGAGTTAGTTGAATTAAGCGTTTGTTCACACTAGGTCATTATTGGAATTGGAGAATGGTAAGGTGGTCGGTGCTGCGAAACGAAAGCGAGTTTAGCCCCTTCATCAATGATGGAATTGTGGCCTTTCCTCCTTTCTGCCACTAGCCATCGCCTCACGATAGATGGAGACTCCAAAGAGATCATGAAGTGGCTCATATGTGGACAGTGGATAGTGGACACAAAGCAAAGGGCGAGCGAGCGAGCGACCGCTGCAGTAAATGAAAAAAAAAGTCCCGTCGTAGATCATTAACAACCAAATCTCACTCCCCTCTGCTCAGTAAAAGGTGTGGACCAACTTTAATTTGATGAGATGGGAATCGTGGGAGGGATGAAAGCCAGCTAATCGAACTAATGTCAATTCGGAAATAAAGAACGAGAATATCATGAATCCCATCCTCTAGAATTTTCCGTTGTCATCTGGCCATGTGGCTACCGGTATCTCATCTCATCTACTTGGTAACTATCCAGAAAAACAAATATGCAATTGGAATGTTCTAATCACTTCAATATTTCACCCATTGTTCTGAGGCTTACCCGCATTAATTCCTTTCCGCGCCATTCATAATTCCCCTTAGCCAATGATAGCTTCATACGCACCTCCCAATTCCATTCTCGAAACCCGAGAGATTGCACTTTAAAATATGCATATCCTCTGGCTCAAACCTCTGCCTTGTTGTTCGCAGGCGTGAGTACCTGGTTCCGTTGCCTTATATTCCATGTCATCAGCATGTCCTTCCTGGGTCGGTCTTCCTCTGCTCTTGGGTCATTCATCAGTCAGTACATGTAGACATTCTCCTTTTGTAACACACACTCTGCATTCACTCTCCCATTCATTTATCATGCCACAACACCTAATCCCGAACCGCTCCCTTTGTCCCATCGCATCCGCCTTGTGCCTTTTTTAAATATCCTTCGGTTGTGTCCAATACCTCGCTTGCTTCCGCTGGAATTCCCCTTTTCCAGCTTGTGTTTGTGCGGCCGTGTGCTCAGGTGCGGGTGGTGTTGTTGGGACGGACTAAGTTCAAGACGGAAATAAACGGTGCGATATGATGTGATGGGATGGGATCTCACAGCGCAGCGCATCACATCACATCACATCACGCCGCCCATTCAGTCGGTACGGTAAGTACAGTAAGCCCTGGGAGATCACTGTTATGCTTTTTGTTCGCGAGGCTTTAGGGGCGTCTTCATGCCATGGCGTAGAACGTATAGGCTGCTGAGAACCCCAATGCACATGCTATTTCTGTACCTGTCAACAAAAACGCCATCATATGGATTATTGATTTGTGTAGGCAGATACATAGAGAAATGTGAGCAATGGTTTATGCGCATCATACTCCATTCTATTAGCCTGATATCATTTATCATATCAATTTCTCTCACATCGGAGGAATTCCATGCCTCACCTGATAAAACACGGGCCCAAATATCCCTCTCTTTCTCCGTTTCTCTCAGCCACGGCCAGTTCGCCGGGATAGATGTATGGATATGGATGGCACAGCTTTCGACTGGGATTCTGGTTTATCTGTCGGGATTCCCAGGTTCACAATGTCATATAATATGTATGAGCACAATGAAGAATAGATGATATTCCGTTCCACTCCAACTCCAAGGATGATGATTTACGCATTATTTCATTTGGGACAAAACGATATTTGCATTGCGTTGTGGAACATCGATATACGGCTGGGCGAGCTAGGAAAATAACTGCTACGGAGGCACGCCGCACTGCAGATCGCTTTCGCTCCCGCCCGAGTCCCGAGGGTGGGAATCTCTCAACACGATATTCAGAATTCGAAATATATGTTTTGCCTAACTCATGATGCAATTTAATATATTACTCTTTATCTCTGTCTTTCAGTCGTCAAGCTAGCTGAACTGGATAGATACAATGTGATCATTTGTGGTCCAGATTCGTAAATTT